TCTCTCTCTCTCTCTCTCTCTCTCTCTCTCTCTCTCTCTCTCTCTCTCTCTCTCTCTCTCTCTCTCTCTCTCTCTCTCTCTCTCTCTCTCTCTCTCTCTCTCTCTCTCTCTCTCTCTCTCTCTCTCTCTCTCTCTCTCTCTCTCTCTCTCTCTCTCTCTCACACACACACACACACAACTTTGTGAAATCTCTTTCTGGTTTCCAAACTTTGAAGCCAGCTTCTCAATGCTCAAGAGCTTCACGCTCTTTGCAGAAAGTGCTTAAGCCTTAATAACTCATTAAACCCATTTACATATCCTAGCTAGACCCATGTAATTATTTTAATTGGAATCATTTTTGTATTTTTTCTATATTTAATTCCATGAAACCAGGGTTTGGCTTGTCGATTGGTGGCTATTAGGACCACACTAAGACGTCCTATGCTCCATCTCAGTCAACCTAACCCCAAAAATAAAATAAAGTAAAATAAAAACCATAAAAAATAAATAAACCGTAGGTAGTTTATTACACATTTCCAGGAATCAATTAAGCATGGGTATCACTCAGAGATCAACCTTTCATAAACAAAGAAATGAATTTGTAAGTTTCATATTATTTTTAACCAATAATGCTCATTATTGTATTGTTTTTGTTTCAAACAGTAGCCTTCATATGTTATTCAAAAACCCCAATAAAAACATACGGTAAATTCCTGCATTGGTAGCACAGGACATGCATGTTTAACAAACACCAAACTCAAATATTTTCTCATTGAGCTCATATAGCATGCTCCCACGGAAGCATATTATACAATTACTCCCTCGGGCTAAAGACTAACTTGAAAAAAAATCTTTTTTATTCAAAATATTGAGAAATACCTAAAAATCACTAGATGATCATATTCAAAAGAAAAAAAATTGGACTTTTGAGTCCTCTAGCACTTAAATCTTACCCTTCAAAACTCAAATTGGACGGTTCCTATACAATCTTGAGGCATTATTTTATTCAAGCCCATAGATAATACAATCTAGATTATTATTTTTTAATTGAGTATAGCATATGGCTTGAAACGGTTACATCCCCAAAATTTGAGGTCCTAAAACTACTTCTAGATTGGATTTTACCCAAGGAAGTAATTAGATATCATGCTCCCTTGAGAGTACGTAAGCATTTGGCTTACTAAAATACTAGAGACTTCTTTTTCTTTTAAGCCTTCAAAGGTAGTAAGGAAACTCAATTTTGTACATGACCTTGATAAGATCAATGAAATACAAATTACCAATAATAAGATAAAATAATTTCTACTTGAGATTACTCCAAAAGAATATGTACTGTCTTTTAAGCCAAAATATTATTTGCTAATACATTGACTCCGTAAAGTATAACATTTTCTAAGAGCATTTTTAGATCCCCATATTTTGGGGAAATAAATTTCTTAACCTACCTCAAATAATGTCCTACATGTTAATGCTGGAGAGGTAAAATGCCAATTTCAAATTTGACTTCTTACACACCACATGCATGTACACCATTTAAAGACGGGAGTATTGTATTTTAGACAAAATTTGGTATTTTTATAAGGGCCTGAAATAGTCAAATTAAAGCACACTTCCATATTTTACCTTAACATATTAATTTGGTGTAAAAAATTATTAGGATGGCATGAAAATCCATTTTTATTCTAATTAAAAAATTTAAACTAAAAAACGATTCAAATCAAGTAGATCTACAAACACATGATCAATGGACCAAAAACTGTGTTGCAAGATGCATTGTTTTTAAGACTAGAAACCTTATTGTTTTATATTCAAATATCTTGATGTCAAGATGATCTATTAGAGGTTTTCAACATCAAAACAACCTTTTCAAATATATTTTTGAGACACCTTGATTTTACAATTTAAGTTTGCAACCTTATGTAAATTTTCTCCTTTTTGTAATGATATTTCAAAAAGAAATGTTAAAAAGAAATAGTATTATTTGTACCATTTGCTTGATGCATTAAACATATTAATACACATGCCCATGGTTAAATGTTATAGCTTACCCTATGCTATAGTTATAGCTCACTATAAACAATTATTATTACTAGTGTTTAGGTTTTAGCTTACTCTAAGCTATAGCTCTAGCTTACTCTAGGTTACCAATTTTTAAAACGGTAATGGAGTTTGGAGCTGGGAATTCACATGGTTTCTAGTCAATGCATCACGTAACACTCTCCAGTATTATTTATGTTAATTTACTCTGGGTGAGGTTTGTATAAGGTGTGGACCTTATATTGTTGAATAAGGTGGACCTCAAAACTATGTCGAAAATGTAATTTTGCTGCTCCAAAGCCTTACGATGATATGAAATCTACTGTTGTCCCCAATTATGAAATTTAAAGTTCTATAAATGGTGAAGATCAAGCAGATCTATAAATATTTGAAAATCTTAAAAATTGATGGTCTGATAATGTGTTAGAAGATGAACTATACTTAGGATTAGAAATTTTATTTTATTTTTTCTTTCTTATGAATCTCGAGGTCGAAATGATCGATTTGAGGGTTTTCCAACATAGGAACTACCTTCTCTAGTGGGGTTTTATATGTGCATCTTACTTGCTCAGTATAAGGTTGATACCTTATAGAAACTTTTTTTCCTATATAATATGGTTAAATTTGAAAAATAGGATAAAGTCATATGCCAACTAAAATGCTTATCATGTCTTACTTCATATGTAAAACTATTTCTTTTTGGGATTGTATACTATAAGACCGTTTACTTTTGTTATAAGGAAGTCACAAATGCCTCAAGCCATTTGATATCAAATTGGGCAACTTCAGTTGTGTTATAAAGTTTCAGAAATTGTTGTTTTGAATTTTTAACTTAGTCGACGACACACTTATAACTGCCTAGTTTGAAATCCAATGGACAAGAGTGATTGTGACATCATTGTATCAAAAGTAAATGGTTTCTTTTTATACTTTTCCTTTCTTTTTTAAGGCACATATCAAAACTTCATCTCAATAAAAAAACAAATTGTAGTAGTTGCTAAGAGAAATTATGATGTTCGTGTAAAGAGTCTCAGGTTTCTTTGAAGAGACTCAGTGTCCATTAATTGTATAAATGTATAGACTTGTCTTTTATAGACAAATTACATACGACAATAATAGAAATAAATCACATATGCCTATACTATACCTGGACTTACCATAAATACAAGATATTGTACCGATCAAGATATTGTACCTACCTTTCACATATATACCGATTATAATATACACCTTCCATGTATATTTTCCTTTCATACTCTCCCTCAAACTCAAGATGCTATAAGAGAGCAGTTGGAGTTTGAACACTAAGTTGCAAATATGAGCAGTTGGAGCTTCAGGTGCATAGCGTGACCAGTAGAAGCAATGGTTGTCGTGCTTAGATTGCTTGATCAACAAACACAGAAAGCTTCAAAAACAAGAATAGGAATATAAGAAGCTTGAGCAACAACCAATCAGTAAGCCTTAGAAATAGACGGCTCGAATAGAGTAAGCTCAAGCAACAACAGATCAACAGGCATCGGGAATAGATGGCCCAAACAGAGTAAGCTCGAGCAAAAGACAAAAAATTTCAGATCTTCGCTTGAGATAGAAAAACAGTCGAGACAGCTAAGAAAACAGAATCGCACATGGCAGAGCCAACAAAACTTCATGCATATCCATGATCAATTCAATAGCTCACAGACATGCACATATGATCGAATAACAGGACAACAGACTTAATCATACAAAAAAAAACAAGATCGAGTAACAAAATCGATCTTACGGGAATGAACACGACGAAAATGAAGAGTCTCAAGTTTCTCTGAAGAGACTCAGTGTCCATTAATTGCATATACCTACATTATACCCAGACTTATCATAAATACAAGATATTATTCCTACCCTTCGCAGATATACTGATTACAATATACGCATTCGATATTAACTTGATGTATAATATATACTTTCTTTTCACAGTTCGCGTGATAAAAAAGTTAATGGAAATTAGAAAACAGATGAAAAGATAAAACACAAAGTTTCAATAAAAAAGAACATGACAAAGCATGTGTTGAAGTGTCATTCCTGAAGAATATATTGTATCCATTGATAGCATATATCTCTCTCTCTCTCTTTATATATATATATGAAAAAGATTTATATAGAGCCTAAGCTCTAAACAATCAAATTAGAGCCTACCTAAAAAATTTCATTAGAAGAGGTTATTTGGATGCCCAAATATCTTCAAATTGATATTCTCAATATCAAAATGCATGGACATGATAAAAAAATGGATTTCAAGTTTTGAAAATAATACATCTTGTAACGTATTTTTTGATCGTCAATTTTCAAGACTTTCAAGTTTTCATAGATTTACTCGATCTACACTATTTTTTAAGCTTTACATTTCTTAATTTAAGATAAAAATATATTTTAAGCCTATCACAAAGATTTCCAGGATTGAAACCATATTTATCGACACCATTTGAAGGTGCGCTGTACTTTGATTGACTAGAGCCTCTATATAGTCCATTGTTAGCACCTCTCTCTCTCTCGTTCAAAAATTAGTTGAATTTTGATAAAATAAACTTTTGTATTGCAAATGAAAGCTACTAAAGCAAAGGTCTCCAAGAAGTAGTTTAAAAGTAACTAGGATGATGCCAAAAATCTTTTGCTTGATCACATGATTTGTATATTTTATTCTTTGCCCCTTTTACTACAGAAATACATTTTTTAAAATTCCCCTAAAGCGACGGTTTGTCCACATTTTTGTTGATTAAGTTTTGTATTTAAGATAAGGCTAAAGAAAAAATAAAATAAAAGAAATGTCACCTCCTCAATCATTTTAGAAAAAGAAAAATTTGATATTCGTCTTAGGAATTGAGAGCCACAACAAAACGTTCAAAGCTGGAATATTAGAGATCATACAAAAATAGGATATCTATTTAAAAAATAAAATAAAATAATATGACAAAAGAATATTAGAGATCCTACGAAAGCTAGAATCTCTATTTAAAAAATAAAATAACATTATATGACAAAAGAATAGTTACTGACGTCAAGGATACTATAATGAGATAGCATTTGATGAAATATATTTTTATTTTGTCTTGTCAGTAAAATATGTGCACCACTCCTAAAATTAGGGCTACCAGCTGGCCGGACTTTAGTGAATTCCTATAGCTGTGTTCGGGCTTGAACCTCTTATCTTTTTATGTAAACCAGGCCCGGGCCATGGCGCCTCCATGGCTCTAGTAGTGCTGCCCAAGCCCGGGTAAGAGCCCGATTTGATCCCTACTCTTTAAGGCCGCCGATTTGCTTCCTAGTCTTTAGGACCGCCAATAATTAGGGCCGAGCTCGAACTTTTAAAGCCAAGTAATGCCCAAGCCCAACGTGTAGGCCTATTAGGGCAGCCCATGTCTTAGGGCTGTAAATGGCCAAAGCCAAAGCCAAAGCTAGCCTGAGCCCAGCCCAGGACCCTAGAGCAATGGGTGAGACTTGACTGGGTGACCTAGCCGGTCCAAGTCTCCAATCCCACTATTGATACCCCAAAAAAATATAGCACGAGGAGGAAATAGAAATGGACGTGATTAGTGTGCGGTCAAGTCTGCACATGTAGAAATGCGGGCCTTTTAATAAATTTATTTTTTAAATAGAATCCGGTCCTAATTTTTAAAGAATATATAATATTTAACATGGAGGTCATGAATGGAGATCATGAATATGAAAAAAAAAATTAAAATCTAAAAATAATAATTATATTAAAAAAAATATTTTAACTATTAGTTTCAATTGTTATTAGATGAACCACCTATTTGTATCTATCTTTAAAATGAAATGCTTTATACCGGTAGACCGCATATTGTACAAATGTGATCCGGCCCGCAAGAAACAATTGTTGAATGGAAATTCAAAGTTAAAAAGAGCACGTCAGCTAAGGAGAGGACTTTACACGTATGACATGCATATCCATAAGGGCAAGCTTCCAAACCAATACACTAAAAAAATAACCCATTTTAGTTTTTTATTTTTATTTTTATCTAAAATGACTTATTTTAGTTGTCTTTTATTGACCACCGCATGAGCTGCTTAGAATTTCCCACCTCTTCTAGTTTTTTGTTAAATGGTATGCGTGTTGTACCCACGAAACTTATTTGGATAACATGTTATTTGGATAATGTTTTCTATTCTTTCTAAAAATATAGTGGATCAAATTCAGCTATCCAATTTTGATGTTATAGTTAAACTTGCATCGACAATAATATTACATATTAATTATAGCTAAGTATTGATTAGTTTAATGATTGTAACATTGTTTTCAACTTACTCTTAACTATTTAATATTTATGGTATCATTGTTTCTATCCAGATGAATGTATATTATTATCAGGTCACTCCCAACTTCTAATCTTGAATCGAAATATTGGGGAGTCTTCAAACACTTTTATATTATATATATGTGGAGACCATGCAAAAGTTTTCCAATATTAATCTAGTAGCTAACAATAAACTCTAACTTAGATTAGCTACAAAAGCTGGTTTAAATAATGTCATAGCTTAATACCAAGTCCCTTTGTCTTTCTTTTCCGCCTTTTTGTTACTTGACCCAAAAACTAAACCGATTCGCATCTGAATCAATGATTTGGATACGAGTCGGCCACCCAATCAAGGTTTCAAAACACTGCTACAAGTCGAACTAATCATATTTAACTCAGGGCAACGACCGGATTCATTCCAATGACATGCGAAAAATTAGCTATACTAAAATATAAGTTATATACATAACATAGGCAAATTTAATTGTATTTACATTATAAGTACAAAATAATGATCAACTCCAAGATTACTGTTTCCCCCTGCCATTAAATTTGGTACTTTGCCATGCGAAGTAGATGGTTAAATGAATATTTTTTTTATGAAGTGAACACAATAGTTTGGAATTTATTGATGAGGAAAACCACATAAATTATTAATATCGCTCACAATGCGCATCAGTAAATGAAACTCTCAGTTTTATATTCGAGGAACATTATTATTAGAGAAAGGTTTCTATGCTTCCCCCCAACATAGAAGTTCTATCTTTCTCCTACCATCCAGCCATCCAACTCACCATTTGATCTTAGATCTGATGTCTCAAATTATTTTATTTTTAGTTTTTTTATATAAATTGCATGGATATGAAATTTTGTACATGTCATCTTCTTATTAGGAAGCACCTATAAAAAATATTTAAAATAAAATTTTCATAAAATATAATGATCAAAATACCCCTTGAACCTTTCATGGTATTTTGGTCATTTTATTTTTTTGAAAATATATTTTTTATATTTTTCACTAGCGCGAGTTTAATAGAGGAATGGATGTCCAAAATTTAGTGTCAAAATGGTTTATAGAAAAAAAAGTAAAAATAAAATAGTGTAGAGACGGGACATTGTGTTTGGGGCAATATTAGCCCTCCATTCAGAATGGACGGTTGGATAAGGGGGAGAATAGAACTTCTATATTGTAGGAAAAGCATAAAAAACTTGCCCTTATCATTAAGCATCAAACTATAAATTAAAAAGTAGTTTTTAATAATAAATTTTTTTAACACTCAATAATAAAAAAAGTTAAATGCAAAAAAAAAATTATTTGACAAGGAAAAAATAAAATAAAATAAAAAAGAGATTATATACAATGGGATTGTTTACTTTTTATATAAAGAGGTCACAATTACTTACAATCCTCCGATGTGAAATAAGATAGCTTAGGTGTATCATAAAGTTTGAAAAAAATTATTTTGAAGTTTGAGGTTGGTCAATAGAATACAACAATATAATTTTACATCCAATGGTCAAAATTAATTGTGGCCAACTTTTTTTTTTTTGGACAATATAATTAACTGTGACCACCTTGTCCCACATATAAACAACCTCATTGTATTTTTCCAATAATAAGAAGTGAAAAGGCTATTTGGATCAAGAAAATGAAGACCACAAATAAGATAGTGTTTCACACGTGGTAAAGAAAATCACAAGCGGCTCACGCGCGCAAGGGCTAACAACCGGAAAAGAGAACAACTTTTCAATGGAGGGAAAATCCGATTTTAGCACACCACACGTGATAGCGATTTACAACATAGAAACCAACGTTCAAAAAAAAAAAAACAATTTGCAAGAGATAAATAAATATGCGTATGAGTCCACAAGACAAATGTGGTCCTCAGCCCCCTCATTTTTTCATTATTTTCTTCCCTCTCTTAATCTATTTTTTCTCTTAAAATCTCAGCTGGCACCTGTTCCCCTGCAACTGCATCAGTGCGCATCGTCCTCATCAAAGCACTTACCCTAGGTATGCCTTCTTTCTCTCTCTAGAATTGTACTTTCTCTTTCTATGTTTTTTGTTTCCCTTCTGTGTCTCTCTCACTCAATTATTGTTTTACCCCCCTCTCTATGTTTTTGTCCCCACTGCGTCAGATTCTGGTACTGTTCGACCTTTTCTGAATCATTCATGGATGGCTTTATTCATATGCACACATACCTAGGTTTTGGTTATTAATCTGTTTGTTTTTGGCTTTATGTTTCTCTCTCTATCGCTACCTTTTTTGTGATTTCGGTACGTGTACGCTTCTTGCCCTCAGTTTTGGATGCCTGGAACTCTAGGGTTTGCATTTCATATCTTGACTTTGTGGATTTGATCTTAGGATATTAGTTTTAGTCTTTCTTTTTGAGTTATTAGAATTCATTTGTTTGGGTAATACAGAGTTTTGAGTGGTCTATTGATTGCTTTTGTGTTTAGGTTTGAGATTTTATGATTGGTTTTATGAAACTAGGGCTGGTGAGCTTTTGTTTCCCTGTGTTTGCAAAAGCACAGCTACTTCAGGTAGCTTAAAAATTTCCTTACTTGTCATTGATTTCGTACTTTGTGTTTGTGGAAATAGCTGATACATGTAGATTTTGTTAGTACATGATGTATTTGCGGGGATTATGATGCTTTGGTGTGTTCTTTCTCATTACCTGGACAGTTAGTTTATTGGACTTTTCCTTTTTCGTCTGTTGGAATTTATTTTATGTGATCAAATTGCATTAGCTGAAGACTTTGCATTTTTTTTTGTAGCGTATGAAGAGTTCTTGATCGTTAGAATGAATAGAAGGCTTAGAATTTGGGTGTTTATTTTGTTAGAAATATCAACAATGATGGTATGCTGTAAAATTGTTGATTTTTCTTTCGTAACTTGACTGGAACGAATGAATTAGAAGGCTCAGAATTGATGGATTAATTCTCATTGAGATTTTATTAATGATCAGTGCTCTAAAATCAACAATGTGATTTACACTCCTGTTGATATTGTTTGCCAAGTATGATGCCAGGCTTTTTCTAGTGATACATTTGATGTTGCTGATTCCTCTGATTTCCAGAACTTAATGTGTTGCATATGATTTTTCAGATAGCCGTGGTCGCTATGCGTGTTTGTCTTTGTTAAAATCTTAGTGAATATTGGATATCTATACTTCCTTGGGTCATTGCTGTCAATTGAAATACTGGTTGGTGATGGAGACTTGAGAGAGATAGTGAGGTCCCAATCTGTTCCTCTCAATCGCTGTTCACTTTTCATCATTTCAATGGATGTTGATGACCCAATGGTCTATGGTTTCTCGATAGCCCACTGCTATAGTATTCATCCATATATGTACATGTGTTTGTGTATTGTTTTGGTGTGCATGCGTTTGCATAATGTTGTGCCTTTTCTTTTTCGTTTTTGTTCCTTGAGAGATTACTGTTATTTTGTTAAGAATTAGTGTCCTTTAGTTGTTCTAGTTTGTTCTCTCTCTCTCTCTCTCTCTCTCTCTCTCTTTCTCTCTCTCTCTCTCTATTCGGTTGGATCCTCACGGGAAGAGAAGCAAATGCCTTATGATTCTCCTGTGAAAAACAGTCTTTGCTGAAGTCTAGGATATCTATGTTGAATTATAAGAAATAAAAAATAAAATAGGAATTGATTATGTTACAATTAACTTTTAATTGATTAATTGGAAGGAACCAATACAATATTGAAATATATACAGTCCACCTTTTTATGAATCACAAGAGAAGTAATTAGGATTAATTCAATTTGTTACTTGCAATTTTGTGAGGAAAGGTTCAAATTTTTGAAGCATGTCGTGGATGCCCTTATCTTAAAAAAGGGGGAAACCATTTGTGATACAGCCATTTATTTGCATATGTCATTGATAATATAGTCTTGATAGATGTGGAATGTAAAAGTGAAAGAGCATGAAACTTACAAAAAAAAGAAAAGTGTAAAGACATGGTTCTCAGTCTGATGAGCATGTTGAGATCATGCTTTGGATGTAATTTGGATTGTTCCAACCCACTCTTTCTTGATCTTTTGACATCCAATAGGATGTTTCAACATTAAATGCTAAATGTGTAAATGCTAGCTGAACATATAGACTCTACTGGTTACATATGGAAAACCAATAAAGTGCTAGAACTTTCCTTGACAAACACCACTCTTGAAGTTGTGAACTTTAATTGGTCTCTCCCCCATTTATCCTGTCAATGAATACATGTGATGATTCCCATATTATGTTGCTGAGATTCTCAATTTTTTTTATATTTGATGCTTTGAGACCCTTCTTTATTGATCTGATCTTCGTACGATGTGTTATAACCGATGGACTCAGTTGATATTATTTATTATGTGGAACACGAGGTTTACTAGCATATATCTTTTCATATCTTAGCTTTATTTTTTGTTCCATTTGTTTTCTGTTGAAAATGTACAGTTTCTCTTTCCTGGAAATGTGTTCAGTATGATCGCTATTGAAGATCACAAACTTTTTACATTTCTTTCAAGGCAGTAGCTTTTGGCATTTGTCAATGATATTTGTTCCCTGATGGCATGAATTATTGTTTTTTGGGATTTTTCAGGCTACATTGATCAAGGATGAGTACCTTAGATACCACCCGTGCAGAACTTGCTCTGCTAATCTTATATCTGAACAAAGCTGAAACCAGAGATAAGATTGTCAGGACCATACAGTATGGCTCAAAATTTGTGAGCGACGGTCGGCCTGGTATAGCTCAGAATGTTGATAAATCTAGTAGCTTGGCTCGAAAAGTTTTTCGGCTTGCCAAGGTTGTGTTCTTGAAATTCGTCACGTATTTGACTGAACATAACATTTTGGGTTGCAATTATAGAAAAGGGAATGTTTATCTCTGTCTTATATTGTTAGAATTTGAATAATATGTTCCCCGTGAATGTGCAGTTTGTCAATGATTTGCATGCTCTTATCAGTCCACCTGTGAAAGGGACTCCTCTTCCAGTCGTCTTGCTTGGAAAGGTTTGTAATTTAACTCCTGTCACATTTATTTTAAATCTGTCTCTATCCGCCGTTATGAGCCTCTTTTCACTTTTCTCTTTGAGAGGTTCTCATCATTTTCCTTTTTGTTTGTTTGTAGTCAAAAAATGCATTGCTATCTACTTTCTTATTTCTGGATCAAATTGTGTGGTTGGGAAGGTCAGGTATCTACAAGGTATGCAAGTCATTGTAATTAAATTATTTTGCAGCATTAGGTTGCAGTTTTGATTGTTTTCCACCACTAAGTTGTGACTCTTATTATTCTACTGTTGATCATGTCTTTGTAAGTTATTTTACTTTATGATGTTACTGCAGAACAAAGAGCGCACTGACTTGATTGCCAGGATAGCCCTTTACTGTTGGTTGGGTTCCTCAGCTTGTTCTTCTGTTGTTGAGGTTTGTTTGATTTAGTTATTTGTTTGTTTTTTAGCAGATCTTTGGCTCCTTAGCGAAATTAACTTGTGGGTTTCTTACACGAACAAACTGAAAAGCTCGACTTTGTACAATACTATTTTAGCTTGCAGAGCTTGGAAGATTGTCTGCATCCATCAAGAAACTTGAGAAAGAGCTGAAGCACACCGATAAGCATTCAGTAAGCTTTTTATTTTAAACCTCCTAATTTGGTAAGAATTATTAATAAATAAATCTGCTTTGATAATTTGAAAAGAATCTACGCCCTATGTTGAGTATAGGCATTTAAAGCTTGATTTTGTTGCCAATACATAAAAATAAAAAGAAAAGGAAAAACTCTGGCGTTATTTTGTCCTTTTGCAAGTGAACGTTAGGTTTCTTTTGGTCAGTTGGAAGCGTATGGACTTTTTCTCTGTTGTATTTATATATTTGTTAATTGATCATTATTATTTTTTGTGAGTGCAGAATGAACAATATGCTCTGAAGCTTAAGCAATCAAATGAGAGGCTTCTAGCTCTGGTGAAAGCATCTATGGATATAGTGGTTGCAGTTGGGTTGCTGGAACTGGCACCCAAGAAGGTCACTCCTCGTGTTATTGGAGCTTTTGGATTTATAAGCTCTCTGATATCGTGCTATCAGGTACCCTCTTGATCCTGGCATTCTGAATTGGTAATGGTGAATCTGTGCATGAGTCCCCCTATGTGACCCATCCATGCATGAAGTCCTTTTTTTCAACGGTTTTCTGGTTTTTTGCAGTCTTCTTGGACAGCTCACATTTAAGAGTGGACATCTGCGTTTGAAAATCCAAACCATTTATTGAGATTGAAGCATGAGTCCCCTGTGTGACCTCATCCATGTATGAAATCCCATATTTACCCCAAACCTCCCAACACAGCAAACACATACACATACACACCACAAACAAGCCAATGCGCCTACATACAAGTATATTGATGCATACATATGTAAATACTGGCTCTATCAATTTTAACATGTAAATACAGGTTCTGTCAAGTTTAACAGTTTTATGATTTTTCTTTGTAATTTTTAGTTATTCATGCAAATTTAAGATTGCCTATATGTAGCCAAAATCATTTGAGACTCCTCTCCAAAAGAAATACAAGACTTTGCCCTTCTCATTGAAACTTCCTTCTAGAAAGGATGTGAGCACTTCATATGTATTTGATATCCCTAAAGATCTTAAGATGTTGAGACATCTTTCTGCTCTCTAGTTCCTTATTCTTATAATTTTTTTCTTCTTAATTTTTAGATCATTCTTATAATTTTTTTGATTTTTTGGATTGATGAAACCCAAAGCGGCGCCAACACAAAGAACTTTGTAGGGATGGTCTTGAATTTAAAGGTTTTAATATTAGCCAAACTATGACAGAGTATATAGAATGCAAGTTTAGTAATAATAGGAGCAGATATGAGGAAGTAGTTAAGATTGACAACCAAGAAATACCAAAATGAGCGTATTTTTTAATCTTGGTTTGATAATCCAAGAAAATGGAGAGATTGAAGAACATGTCGCACAACGAATTAGAGCTGGATGGGCGAAGTGGAGATGTGCAACCAGAGTTTTTTGTGATCACCGCATACTAATGAAGCTGAAGGGGAAGTTCTATAGGACAGCTGCCAGCCAACTTTACTTTCTGAGGCAGAATGTTGGTGTGTCAAGAAATAATATACCCATAGGATGAGTGTAGTTGAGATGAGAATATTGAGATGGACGAGTGGTAAGACAAGAAGGGATAGAATTCGAAATGAATACATTAAGGAGAACTTAAGAGTGGCTCCAATAGGCATTAAGATGAGAGAAGTAGATTTGAGTGGGCTGGCCATGTGTAGCGTAGACTCAATACAACACCTGTTAGGAGGTGCGAGTTAGTTCAAGTGGAACGTTAAAAAGGACAAGGGGTAGGCCTAAAAGGACATGGTTGAAAGTAGTGACAAACGATATAGAGATTTATGACCTCAGTGAGGGTATGGTCCTTGATAGAGCAAATTAGCGGACCAAGATTCATATAGCCGATCCCAAATAGTTGCGAAAATGCTATGATGATGATGAAAATATTAGAATTCAGTTATTAATGGTTTCTGAAAATCCCACAATCACTAGGGTATGATTGTTCTGCTGGTTGGAAGAGACACCATTTACTTTTTGAGAGTTCTTGTAATCTTATTTGTTTTTGCGAAACATGGAAACTTATGGACCTTGATTACTTTGATTTGTAAACATATGGACCTTGATTTGAAACTGCAACTCTTTTGCCGCCGGTCTTTCTTGTCAATGAATGAGTTTTTTCAAAGATTGTCAAAATGCCTTACGTGTACAACTTTATGTTTTTTAAGGATTAATATTGTTTTTATCATTTCCTACAAAAGAAAAAAAAGAAAAAATAATGTTATAATTTTATTTTAGGTGAGGAAAGAATTGTTATGATTGTCAAAATGGAATTTATATTGTGAAATGAATGCTGATACGAAATCTAGTTTCTGTATGTTTGAAACAAACATGTTACTCTTTTTTCTTTTTGGGTTCCTTTTTTACTTTTTACATGGATTGTGGTACTTAAACCACCCACCAAGACCCCAAAAAAAGAAAAAGAAGGAGAAAACATCAAGATTGATACATTGTTTTTCCTTTCTTTTCTTTCTATGTTGCGACTTTCTAAGCTATTTCCTGCAATTGTATTTCTTTCTGATTTGTGTGCTTGTATGTTGAATGAAACTTTAGTAAAAAGTTAACAACGAGCCAATTCTGCCAAAAATTCTCTCCAACCTTCCCCCCCCCCCCGGGCCATCTGTTCAAGCCCTATGAAACTTAAATCCTGTTTTTACCAAAAATGGCAGTTGTACCCATTTTTCTTAGTTTGTCATTGTGTTTTGAAGCTATGGTAATCTTTGTTGTAGGCAATATTTTTTATGCATTCTCTTGTGCTTCAAGTTGACAATATGTTCGTTACTAATGATATGCAGTTGCTTCCCTCTCCACCTAAATCCAAGGCCCCATGAAGAATTCAGCTTCAATTCTATGCAGCATGCCTCCTCTCATGAAAACAAAATATCTTGCCATAAATGGTGACTGTTGGCCATGTTGGTTTATGTAACCGCTTCATCCCTTCTCAAATAATTCACATACAATATTAGCAGTACATACAATATTAGCAAAGAGGAAAAAGAAGTAATCTTAGTTACCAGGCCACCAGCTTAATTGCTGTGTGAATGATTCATTGTGAAATAAGGTCTCTCTCTCTCTCTCTCT